GTACAACGGTCTACCTGTGACCTCGGAATCAGATCTCCTTTTACCTACAAATTCTCTGAACATATTGAGTACCAGATAGCACCAGCCAGACAATCCTATGCTGACATCTCTCACAACGTGCATACAATCACAGCTACAGTTGAACTATATAAAATCCTTAATCGTCTCGTGCTGGATTATCGCAGCATAATCTGATTCAAAATGAGGAAATCGGACAGAAGATCGATAAAAAGCCTTTAACGGTTATTTGATAAGCGCGTGTTGGATAAAAATTCTATCCTTAACTCTCGGGATTGATGCCAGCAACTCCACCTCCATTCACTTTGGCTGCGAAGACTAGAACATAACCGGAGACTGCTGCACAATCTGATTCGTGGCAATACCCGTTGCAATCTATTCATCTTTAACATTGCAGCACGATTACACGCGAGACCTAGTAACAAAGACCTTACCCTGATTATGCCACGAGGCAAGAAATATTTGCTGTCTAACTTTCGTCTCACCATATACGATTCGGTGTGGAATCAGTTGCGTTCACCATCAGGTACTGTGAGTCTGTGTAATACTTTCGCAGTAAATTGGGAAGCTACCTCTACCTGAACACCATTATGTCGCCTTTTTCGTAGAAAGGGTCATTTGAACATCCATTCAAAGAAAGTCCAGACAACGTATAGTGGGTGTAATATCACCAATTCACGCAATGTAATTAGTGCTCAGTGTCTACAACCTACACAAACAGCCACTTTGCTTCCTTCCATAGCATATGGGGTAAATACTTTGCCAGAAATGCAGACAAATATAAGAAGATAACGTTATATTGCTTTTGCAAGAACATGACACCAGTTTTGCGTGAATGTTCTGTGCCAAATATTATCACAGTTTTTCACTTGCTGAGAAATATGCCCATTATTATTATTCCTCCATATTATTATTATAAGCTTCGTGCGGTATATTGTTTCGACCAGAGGCAATACTAACCTGGAGCCTAAATGTGCCACTGGTACAGTGCACCTTGGACCGAATACAAATTGTGCGCTCGCTACTTTTCGGCTGCTAGGAGAGCGTTGGAAATTTGACACAGGAACACCGGCTACCGGCCGGGTCAGCATACGAACCAATGGTAACTTTCCGACGAAAGATTTCTGAAACTGGTGCTGACAG